CTGCTTATGCATTGGATGAATAAGCATGGGACTATTTACATTCACCTTAACAGAGACTTCAGCAGTAGCATGTCACTTCTGTCATTTATTTGATTGTTTCCTGTTTTTTTTTTTGTGTCATGCTTTGTCAGTAGTTCTCTCCAGAGAGGGGGCCTTTCTTATGATGGTGTGTCTAAGTGAAAAGGTAATCTAAGCCAGGTGTAGCTGTGTTATTGTGACAGTGCTGTTAGCTCAGGCTCATTTACACTGGGAATGCATTGCTGGAGGCACACAGCTCCCTTTCATACAGATCTGTCTGATTTCCATTGAATTGCTAGGGGGCTGCTTAAACAACTGAGGACCCATAAGGCTCTGGTCAAAAATAGCGCACTATATAGGGAATAGGGTGCCATTTGGGACGCACACTGAGACACAGGAGCCTCTTCAGGGTGAGACTGAAGCCATGTTCTTGGAATAGATGCTCAGTGTCCTCAAGAAAACCCTTTAGAGCTTGTTTTGTTGTTAACTGTGAAAATACACAATGATGGGCCATTTGATGGCTCTCGCGTTGACTGGAATCCAAGAATCCAGTGATAAGAAAAGCAGAACATACTTACTCATATTTACTCAAAACAAGTGATATTCAGGTAGTGGGACTTGTAACCCATTTGTTCCCACATTTTTCCCAGACATGCCACTATGCAAATCTTATGCCATTTGCAGATTTGGGGAGTAACAGATTACATGTAAAAAAATAAAAAAATAAAAAAGCAAATATATTGTAATCAGATTACAGATACTTTTGGAAAAACTAGATAATTACTTCTAGGATTACTTTTAAATTCAGAAAGGATGTTTGTGAGAAAATGATTTGACACCTGTTTTCTCAATGACATTCAAATCAGCATTGAAAAAAGGCACAATTTTAAGTTTGTTCCTAATATTTTGTACACTCAGTGTATTTGTGTATTTTACCCAAATGTTTTTTGACCAGTGGACAGCCAGTGAAAAATGTGCTCTTGCAACAGATGCATAGTACGGATCCCATCCTATGGAATAAAAGTTTGAGGGATTTCCTCCCTTCCTCCGTAGTATTGTGTTCCACATACTGTCAAAAACAAGTTTAATTTAAGAAGACCACGAGTGGGGCTTTTATTGCTCAATCTAATTTGTGCTGATAAAAAAAAAAATCCATAGGCCTAACGGACACATGCTCAAACTTGCACACTTTTGATAGACTTAAACAGCTGCAAATTATTGAGATATCAAAGTGTCACCAACAAAAAAGTTAACAATCGGCCTATAGCAAATGCAGCATATGGCATTAATCTTTCACATGCAAATAGCACTTTTCGGTAGTGCTTAAATCATGCCATTCCATGAGAGCAGCATTTATTTTTCAACTCGAAGCAATGAGCCCATCAGTCCTCCATGACAACAAAATCATAAACAACAGAGTAGGCAAATACGTTTTAAGTTTTTGGGTTATGCTCAGGTAAAATAATTTTTGCTAACATATTTCCATGTCCTATTCTTGAAGATCAAGGGGTATTAAATGAACTGGAATGACTGGAAATCTGACAGACTTTGTTAAAGATAAAAGCCTAATTATATTAGTATCTGTAGTAGAAAGGAATGGGTTAGAAGAAGCCTAAATAACCAATCCATAAAGTAAAATGCAACATTCATTCATGGCCAGCTATGTAAACTCTAATATTGATTTATCCTGCAATAGATGTCGTTCAATTGGTAATATACATTTTTGTCTTCTTCTAATGTCTCTGAAGGGGAAAGTAATATATTAAAAGTAACTGAAAGTAATCCGATTACGTTATTGAGTTTGGGTAATCCAAAAGTAATGTTACTGATTACAATTTTGGACATGTAACTACTTACTGTAACAGATTACATTTAGAAAGTAACCTACCCAACCCTGGTCATTAGTAACCCTAACATGTAATCCATATAGATTTTTTTAAATATATTTTTATAAAATATTGAAAAGAATGTAAACAAGTATGTTTTATTCTCGGTCACAATTGTGACCGATGGGAACATATACAGTGGTGTGACTATAATACAATGAACAGACATTGACCCCTATTCCTCAGCCCCAATATCTATATACCTCCGCCCACTTACCCACACACCTAAACCCAATTAGCCACACACCCCCACCCTGTTACCCCCATGCCCTGACCCTAACACCCACATGCCAATATCCTAATATTGATACAATCAAGTACCGATACACCCATATCCTAGCCCTAAATGCCCTATTTGTTACTCATAGACTCCTTTGCCAATACTCCTCATCCCTGTTACTTGCCTAACTCAGCCCTGTTACCCACTTTCCTTTGGCCTGTATTCCCTAAGTCACCAACAGTAACCTATCTAGCAATTCGCTGCACACCCCAACCCTGTTATTTGCATATCTTAGTCCTGTGACCTCTGACCTGTATACACTAATCATTTCATAGATAAACTCATAGTACAGTTGTGTAACACATGTGCCCCAGCTACATTAAACTTTTTTCCTACCACAAACTTGTTACCAGAAAGAATTTCAATGGACAATAGACGTTCATCCAGACCCAGCCATATGAGCCTTGTGTATCCCTACACCCCATTACTCATATAAACCAGGTAAATACTCCTATAAAATAGGTGTACCCTAGTGCCCAAGCCTCAACATTCATACAAACAAGCTCTACAGTTGTACTTCAGCCCCAATATTCTTACAGACCAAGTGTTTTTTTTGTTTTTTTTTACAGGTCTACTGCTACATGTCAGCCCCAATTGTCATATAAATAGGTGTACTTCACCATTTCAGCCCCAATATTCATACAAACCAGGTCTACACCTGTTCTTCAGCTCCAATTTACATACATTTTACATTTACATTTTAGTCATTTAGCAGACGCTCTTATCCAGAGCGACTTACAGTTAGTGAGTGCATACATTTTCATACTGGCCCCCCGTGGGAATCGAACCCACAACCCTGGCGTTGCAAGCGCCATGCTCTACCAACTGAGCTACACGGGGCCCCTACAAAGTATGCACCTGTGCTTGAACCCCAATAGTCATCTAAGCCAGGTCTAAATATGTGCCAAAGCCTGAATACTCATAAACTGTAAACCAGGTCTACACCTGTATATCTCGGCCCAAATACCCATACAAACCAGGTTTACACCGGTGGCTATGTCCCAATACTCTGATAAACCAGGTCTACCCTTGTGCAAGAGACACTAAACAAACCTATTGAAATAAAATATTTGTTACATTATTACACTAATTCAGTTTATGGGTCTATACATGGCCAATCCCCCTGAAATAACAAAATATATCTTTCTACCGTCAAAATCACTGATTTAAACACACAGTATGTAAAGGCTAATGGATAATTGTAAAATCATCTTGATCAATTATATCCATAACCCAACTCAACTTCAATCTACTGAAAAAATTAAGAATCCGCTATGATTAATATGTTAGAGCCACTGTATTTTCCCATTGGTCACAAATGTGACCGCTAAGATATGTTCATATACCACCAGCATCATGGATTCAATGTATTGAAAATGGAAGGCACATATGTAAACTAAACCCTTTAAACATTATATTTAGAAAGAAAATGTACAATAAAATGTAAATGTGAAATGTGAAAATATAAAAAAATGTCAATAATGTATTTGTTTTTTAAGCTGTTGAATACAGACTTCTGGTGCCAAATACAGTATGTCTGTAAAAGTACACCTTGGAGATTTATGCTTGTTGTCTTGTGACCATTAGAGAAATCATATAAAACGTATCTGAATCATACTAGACACCTTAATAATGCATAATATATTACTTATTTGTTGATAAGTACAACTTTAACTTCTCTAGAGCCTGTAAAGTACAAACATATTTCCACTAATGTGACCAATGGGAGTAAATTGGTTAATAGCATTTGCCATAAAAAAAATTTGCGATTTAAGTAGCACTTTGAAAAGTTGCTCCTGTACAGGTAATGGCCACTTTTCAGTTTTGAAGCACATAACATTAATAATCACCCTCAGCAGCCAACAACAAATTAATGTTCAATGTCTACTTACTAATAAAGTAGAAATAGTCATAATTGGCGTTAGAAACATTTGCAAAGTTTTGTATGGAATGAAGAAGTTCTGTCATCTAGATTTCAGCAAGCTAAGTAAACTGGTACTGCGACCAGATGTTACCTTAATCACATGCAGGCATTCATTATCTACAGTAGCCTCTCAGCCCCAGCCCAGTCTCTGTTACACATTACCTTTCAGATAGATGTTATCACGTCAACCACCGCCCCACATAATGCCTGGCTGGCTGTCACAGAATGACACAGCCTACCACACCACAGTCCACCACATCATGGCTGAGTCACTCTGTCTGGGATACTCTCCACTTCGACATGCATCCAGTCCAGCACAGGGCTCAGTTTAAAGTGCAATTGGGACCTCAGTGCGAAGTCTGTGACAAAAGGAACAGTTGGTATTACAGTCTGGTAGCCATCCAGGACTCATTACAGAGCTAAGTTACATACCAACAACTAACAACCCTTTGTGTAAGTGTGCTTTGTGTGCAGGTCTGTTTTCCAGGTAGTGGGAGAGAAAAAAAACGAAGAAAAAACTAACAAAGAAATAAAGAGGGAAAAATAACAACTACAACCAAACCAGGGGGAAAAAACAGACTTGGTGCATGCATTTTAATACGCCACTGTGTCAAAGCGAGTGCTCATTTGCAAGCCATTGCGTTAAAAATAACTTTATTGTGGTAGATCATGTTTTGGTAGGAGGGTTTATTTTGCCCCACTGGGCCAGTCTCATGGGCAGCAGATGAGCCTTGCAGAGAGGCTTGTGTGTGCTGTGAACAGACAGAGGATCCCAGCCAGCTCTTGCGCCCTCTCTCACTGTGCTCTGCTCTGCTACTGGCCTGTACACTCCATTCCAACAGCTCGTCTCTTTTCTCTGCTCCAGATGATGCCTTGGATATAGCCGGCCCCCATGAGTGATATGAGTAACACACTGGAAGACATACACACCTCTGACAGCCTCGGAGAGAAAGCAGAGATTTTTGGGAGTGGGAAGGGTAATGTGAGTGGCTTTTCCAGCCCATCCCTCATCCCTTTGCATGCTCCTTTACAACCACCAAATGCCCAGCTCTCCAGGACTGCTGTCTGCCAGGGGAATAGGTATGGTTCATTTCTCCTTTGGAATGGCTGGTGTGAATGAGCATGATTTATTGTCACATTTTTCTGTCTAAAACACAAACCTCATAAATGTGTTAGTAATATATATCCCTGCATTTCCTCCAAAAGCCTCAGCGTATCTATCTTAGTTTATACTGTAAGTCACTACTTTAAAGTTAATCTTTAACATATGTGATTAGTAGCTCGTACAATGTGCTCTCTTACAGAGGAATAGTACACCCTTTGTATTCACAGCAGCAGGGCACAGAGGTCCCAGTTGAACATTTGCTGTAGACTTTGTACCGGTAAACGCACGACTGTCAGCGAGAGAATGGTTTTACCCAATTTTGATAATACACTGAAAGAACTGGACTCGTCTCAAACACCTGTTACTTTGCTGCTTGTAATTAGTAACTTAGTAACTGTTGTGTGTTTACATAGCAGTAAGGAAATGTCAATGTGAGCCACCTTTTACCATTCAAGGCCTTCAAATCAAATGTATTTGTCAAATGCGCCGAAGACAACAGGTGTAGACTTTACCGTGAAATGCCTTCACATATAAACTGTGTTAAATCTCAATTTCATATCTTCTCATGATACTAATGGAAAATGTGGTGATGCTTTTGTCAGCCCGGTCATTCCCACACGGACAAGGTTACTTTTTCTGCTAGATTTTGATATGAACGAATGAAATGGACACGCTGGCTGCGTTTTGTGAAGTGAACAGCATAACGGCCATCATGACCGCTCCCTCATACAGACACTATCAGAAACCCATGTCAGATAAACATAAGGATTATAGGCCTACACTGTATTTCAGTTGTGGATTCACTATGCATGAACGGGGCGACCCAGCTCTACAGAGTGTAGCCTATACATAATGTATAGACGGGAGCCAAACTGTCTTGAATAATGTCAAGTTTAATGGACTTTATGGTAACTTAGAGAGAGCCAGGATCCAAGGGCTCTTTCTAAGCTGCTCACTGGTGAGGTGGAGGGTGCAGTGTTATCTATCGCCTCATCAAAGATCTGTTTGTCGCTCGGCTGGGTGTGTCGTCTGACTGGCTGAGAGCGGGAGGGGGCAACACAGTCACAGACATGGCCAGTGTCACTGTCGGTCAGCCATGTCTGTGTCTGTCTGGAAGTATCAACTGTTCAGTCATACTGATCCCCTCGAATGTACAGAAGACACATATTATTCACAACAAAGGCACAAACAATAGCTAGGAGGTATACAGTAGAATCTGGCAATACACACGCTTCAGTTTGGGTGTAGGTAGAGGCTAAGAAGATCCCATGACTCGCTGTAGGCTCCAGACAGACAGCCATCCAGCCATCTAATATATAATTGCAATGACATTACCATGAATGCCTCTCTCTCGTCATTCCAGATGGAAAGACTGACCGACAGACAGCATATTGTTTGTGTTAAGAGTCAAGCTCCTTGGTTGTCAGTATAATGTTTTATATACTTATTCTTTCCCTCTCTCCAGGAAAATTAAAGAGGGAGAGGAGTCTCTGCTGGCTGCCCCTGTTCCAAGCCTTTTCCCAGAACTCATTCCCTCAACCGTCTCATCACTTGTCTCCGATTGTTTATTACCCTGGACCAAAAGTGGCGCAACTCAGGTGAGCAGATATTTTATTTTATTTTACACAGACATATAGAAAATACAATGCCCCCCTGTAATGTTTTCCAGTGAAAACCTCAGGCATTACATGTGATTCTAAAAGGGATGACACTGCCAGATAAAAAAACAAGCCGCAAGACACGTGTAAATTCAAATTCTCGCATAACTCGGTCATGCTTGGCATGAGCTAAGCGTCTAAAACTGTAGGGCGTGAGGAAGCAGAACCAGTTGTGTGAGTATGCAAATGAGGAGAAATTAGGAAATTAGAATTCTTCTTCAGCACACTACAGAGAATCCGAAGAACATGTGATTGTGAGATCCTGACTTTGTACCTAGATTCTGCATCAGCAATAGCGTTACAATGAACAACACACTTGTTCTAATGGTACAACGTGTACAACCAAAGAGCTCAGACAAGGGTGGTGACCCAGTATTTATGTAGGCCTATGTGGTGGTGTTGTATCGCCACACTGCCACGCATGCTGTTCTTCACCCTGCCATGGTTTGCATCCCAAATGGCATCATATTCCCTATGAAGTGCACTACTTTTGACCAGCTCTATGGGCCCTGGTCAAAAGTTGTGCACTTCATAGGGAATAGGTTGCCATTTGGGACGAAGCCATAGAGCGTGGTAGAGAGTGTTGACTGTAAAGGAGGTGAATGTGGGGGAGAAGAGAGCTGGCACTGGATCAGCGTTCACTCCTCACTGGACCCTGGCTCTGCTTTGTTCTGCTTGTTCTCATCACATGGAGTTCCTGTGCTTGAGTGAATAATTATTCAGTGCATGCTTGGGTAACACTGTTATAAAAAGAATAATCCAAAAACAATTAATTTGTTTGAGTAAAAGAACATGGCATTAGCCATGGCAAAAGGCATAGAATTGCAGAAAAAGTGCTTTAAAACTGCAAAATGTTCTCTCAGCTCCATGGAAAAATTTGTAGAATTGCAGGAAGTTCGCTTTAAAACTGAAACAATTTCTCTCCGCTCCATGGAGAAATGTGTAGAATTGCAGGAAATTGGCACACTTGGACAATCAGAGAGGGGGCAAATTATTGTGGCCCTGGTGGCACAAAAGAGTCAAAAGGTCTGACTGCAAGAGATGCTTCGGGAAATGGTCACAACGGGGGACCAGTGTGTGTGTGTGTTTCAGGATAGGGGGGTGTATCTGAGTGCCATCAGCTAGGACTTGACATTGGTTAATCAAATCTCTTGCTAAATTTTGCATGCCTTCTCAAACAGCTACAACTGTATATGCATTCGCACATCAAGTCTTCTCTTGAGTTGGACTCGGGGATGGAACAACATCTGAGCTTGTGGTTGTTTGTGGGGAAAGGGTGGTGTGTTTACTGTATGTATCCCAGATCTGTTGCTATGGGGTAATGATGTTGGGGACAATACAGGATGAATCACAATAATTGTTTGCCTAAATAATAATTGCTTGCCAAACATTACATTTTTGAAATGCCAATCCTGGTTATAGGTAACAATCCTTCGTATGAACTGCCAACATTATGATGCATATTATTCGTTAATTGTGTAAATAAATTACGATATGCAAGATTTTTAAATATATATATATATATATATATATATATATATATATATATATACAGTGGGGAAAAAAAGTATTTAGTCAGCCACCAATTGTGCAAGTTCTCCCACTTAAAAAGATGAGAGAGGCCTGTAATTTTCATCATAGGTACACGTCAACTATGACAGACAAAATGAGAAAAAAAAATCTAGAAAATCACATTGTAGGATTTTTAATGAATTTATTTGCAAATTATGGTGGAAAATAAGTATTTGGTCAATAACAAAAGTTTCTCAATACTTTGTTGTACACCCTTTGTTGGCAATGACACAGGTCAAACGTTTTCTGTAAGTCTTCACAAGGTTTTCACACACTGTTGCTGGTATTTTGGCCCATTCCTCCATGCAGATCTCCTCTAGAGCAGTGATGTTTTGGGGCTGTCGCTGGGCAACACGGACTTTCAACTCCCTCCAAAGATTTTCTATGGGGTTGAGATCTGGAGACTGGCTAGGCCACTCCAGGACCATGAAATGCTTCTTACGAAGCCACTGCTTTGTTGCCCGGGCGGTGTGTTTGCGATCATTGTCATGCTGAAAGACCCAGCCACGTTTCATCTTCAATGCCCTTGCTGATGGAAGGAGGTTTTCACTTAAAATCTCACGATACATGGCCCCATTCATTCTTCCTTTACACGGATCAGTCGTCCTGGTCCCTTTGCAGAAAAACAGCCCCAAAGCATGATGTTTCCACCCCCATGCTTCACAGTAGGTATGGTGTTCTTTGGATGCAACTCAGCATTCTTTGTCCTCCAAACACGACGAGTTGAGTTTTTACCAAAAAGTTATATTTTGGTTTCATCTGACCATATGACATTCTCCCAATCCTCTTCTGGATCATCCAAATGCACTCTAGCAAACTTTAGACGGGCCTGGACATGTACTGGCTTAAGCAGGTGGACACGTCTGGCACTGCAGGATTTGAGTCCCTGGCGGCATAGTGTGTTACTGTTGGTAGGCTTTGTAACTTTGGTCCCAGCTCTCTGCAGGTCATTCACTAGGTCCCCCCGTGTGGTTCTGGGATTTTTGCTCACCGTTCTTGTGATCATTTTGACCCCACTGGGTGAGATCTTGCGTGGAGCCCCAGATCGAGGGAGATTATCAGTGGTCTTGTATGTCTTCCATTTCCTAATAATTGCTCCCACAGTTGATTTCTTCAAACCAAGCTGCTTACCTATTGCAGATTCAGTCTTCCCAGCCTGGTGCAGGTCTACAATTTTGTTTCTGGTGTCCTTTGACAGCTCTTTGGTCTTGGCCATAGTGGAGTTTGGAGTGTGACTGTTTGAGGTTGTGGACAGGTGTCTTTTATACTGATAACAATTTCAAACAGGTGCCATTAATACAGGTAACGAGTGGAGGACAGAGGAGCCTCTTAAAGAAGAAGTTACAGGTCTGTGAGAGCCAGAAATCTTGCTTGTTTGTAGGTGACCAAATACTTATTTTCCACCATAATTTGCAAATAAATTCATTAAAAATCATACAACGTGATTTTCTGGAAAAAAAATTCTCAATTTGTCTGTCATAGTTGACGTGTACCTATGATGAAAATTATATTAATTATATATATATATACAGTACCAGTCAAAAGTTTGGACACGCGTACTCATTCAAGGGTTTTTCTTTATTTTTACTATTTTCTACATTGTAGAATAATATTGAAGACATCAAAACTATGAAATAACACATATTGAATCATGTAGTAACCAAAAAAGTGTTAAACAAATCAAAATATATTTTAGATTTTAGATTATTCAAATAGCCACCCTGCCTTGATGACAGCTTTGTGGACTCTTTACATTCTCGCAACCAGCTTCACCTGGAATGCTTTTCCAACAGTCTTGATGGAGTTCCCACATATGCTGAGCACTTGTTGGCTGCTTTCCTTCACTCTGCCGTCCAACTCATCCCAAACCATCTCAGTTAGGTTGAGGTCGGGTGATTGTGGAGGCCAGGTCATCTGATGCAGCACTACATCACTCTCCATCTTGGTAAAATAGCTCTTACACAGCCTGGAGGTGTGTTTTGGGTTATTGTCCTGTTGAAAAACAAATGATAGTCCCACTAAGCGCAAACCTGATGAGATGGTGTATTGCTGCAGAATGCTGTGGTAGCCATGCTGGTTAAGTGTGCCTTGAATTCTAAGTAAATCACAGACAGTGTCACCAGCAAAGCACCCCCACACCATCAAACCTCCTCCTCCATGCTTCACGGTGGGAACCACACATGCAGAGATCATCCGTTCACCTACTCTGCGTCTCACAAAGACACTGCGGTTGGAACCAAAAACCTCAAATTTGGACTCATCAGACCAAAGGACATATTTCCACTGGTCTAATCTCCATTGCTTGTGTTTCTTGGCCCAAGCATGTCTCGTCTTATTATTGGTGTCCTTTAGCAGTGGTTTCTTTCCAGCAATTCGACCATGAAGGCCTGATTCACGCAGTCCCCTCTGGACAGTTGATGTTGAGATGTGTCTGTTACTTGAACTCTGTGAAGCATTTATTTGGGCTGCAATCTGAGGTGCAATTAATTGCTGATTTCTGAGGCTGGTAATTCAAATGAACTTATCCTCTGTAGCAGAGTTAACTTTGGGTCTTCCTTTCCTGTTGCGGTCCTCATGAGAGACAGTTTCATCATAGCGCTTGATGGTTTTTGCGACTGTACTTGAAGAAACTTTCAAAGTTCTTGAAATTTTCCGGGTTGACTGACCTTCATGTCTTAAAGTAATGATGGACTGTCGTTTCTCTTTGCTTATTTGAGCTGTTCTTGCCATAATATGGTATTTTACCAAATAGGGCTATCTTCTGTATACCAACCCTACCTTGTCACAACACAACTGATTGGCTCAAACGCATTAAGAAGGAAAGAAATTCCACAAATTAACTTTTAAAATATATACACTGCATTCGGAATGTATTCAGACCCCTTGACTTTTCCACATTTTGTTACATTAGTGAAGACATCAAAACTATGAAATAACACATATGGAATCATGTAGTAACCAAAAAAGTGTTAAACAAATCAAAATATATTTTATATTTGAGATTCTTCAAAGTAGCGACCTTTTGCCTTAATGACAGCTTTGCACACCAAGAATGTGATTCACCCCCCCCCCCCCCAAAATAAAAAATGTAAATGATTTGGCTTAAATATTCCAAAATGTCTCTACACCGCCAAGGGGAAGGGCCTCTAAAATCCAGCTGTGTCAACGGGCCGACCGTGCCCATTACCACGCCCCCTGCCCTGTCCACAACCTAAGGCCCTTTTTGATCCAGAAAAAACCCTGCAAATATTAAAAAATATATGAAAAATCGTATGATTTTTTTAGTGCTATTCAACGAAAGTGGGGGAATAGGGTTTAGAAATTATTGAAATATGATCATACTTAGTGACAGTACAAAATTGGCATAA